AAAAAAAAAAAAAAAAAGAAATCGAACCCAGAAGATCGCTAGGTTCTTAAAAACCCAACAAATCGCTGGGTTCTTGATCGAACCCAGTGATTTGCTGGGTTCTTGAGAATCCAGCAGATGTTCGATAATTACAAGCAGCCATATGGGCAAATTTTTTCCCTCAACCAATTTTTGCCAAATTCTCAATGAGAACAGCTCACACAAACAAGATATTCATTAGCAAAAAACAGTCAGCTGTAACCCAAAATTATCCCTAAAATTCAAGTTTCTAAACATAAATATTTAAAAAAAAAAAATCAAACCTAGCAAATCGTTGGGTTCTCAAGAACCCAACAGATTGTTGGAAATTGAACCCAGCAGATCGAAGAACCCAGCGATCTGCTGGGTTCTCGAGAACCTAGTGGATCTGTTGGGTTTGATTAATCGAAATTGAACCCAACGATCTGCTGGGTTTGATTAATTGAACCCAGCATATCGCTGGGTTCTCGACAACCCAACAGATCTGCTGGGTTTCGAAGAGGAGATGATAAATGATGAAAGGAAAGAGATGATGAGGAGATGAGGAAAGGAGAAGATTAAAACCCAAGCCGGCAAACAAGGATCCAAGGGAAGAAGATGAACAACGAAAGAGGTTGGAGATGAAAAGTAAGTGGGAAGTAAGGGGCAACGAAAGGAGGAAGGAAAGAAAGTGATGTGTAGTTGAAGAAAGGGTAAAAATGTAATTTTATCTTTATAATTTAACATTTAATAATTTTATTTTTATAATTTATTTTATTATCAATCCTATGTGGCAAGGTATTTAAATGGTCACCTTTTTTTCCGTCAAGTAACGGTCCACATAAGCCAGTTTTTAACGGAAGGACCAAATCGGGTCAAAATGGTAAACAGTAGAGACCAAATCAAGGATTGTTTTAGTTCAGGGACCAAATCGGGGGTCCGTACAATAGTTGAGGGACCAAAATGAGGTTTTAACCTAATATTTATATAAATTTAACTCATCAAATTCCCCTAAACTTAAGTTTTACTTGTCCTCGAGTAAAATTAAAAAACAAAAACAAATAAACTGTCACGCCCCAAAACCCAAATTTGAGGCGACAGACGCCATGCACTCGTGAGAGGGTCCCACAAATGCACAAGACTCGAAACTTACTCATATCATACTCTGATACCATCAAAATCTGAAGATCAAATTTTATAATTTGCTCTAATATCATAAATCTCCAAATACACTCTCATTTACAAGATCATGATTTATTTCTACAATCTAAGTTCACTGTACAAGATGGCTAGCCTTCTAACTCGTCACTTCCCATGATTTCCCCGTTCTCGGTTTCGCTTCCTGAAATAGTGGACTAAGAAAACTATGAGATAAACTCAGTAAGTAAATATGGAGTGCCCCTTATTAAACTCATAGCATGCCAACAACTGTAATAAAAAAAACGGATACAGTACGAGAATGAAATAGACGTCTCCTCTATAGGTCACGGCCAGTGTTATAAACCTCCCACTAGCAGGCTACAGTATTTGCTGGTGTATAATCCCCACTAGCAGGGCAACAGAAACGAACCGGTTCTATCAGTAACATGTCGACATGTGCTAGCGTTTAGCCCCCACTAGCAGGGTTATCAATAACATAACCACATCAGAGACAAAACAAGCAGAAGTTAATAGAAAAATCATAATTCACCAATCACTTTCAAATCATCAGGACAATCAATTAAATTTCAAATAGGCATGCTCAATTTAATGAAAAGCATAAAAATTTCACTTCAAATCAATCATACTTTCTTTTGTATAAAACGGGTTTAGTCCCGCCACCACTTTAAAAACAAATCAAAACATGCTTTTAAAAACTGTATGGGCAATACCATAAATTTACTTACCTCAAATCGCATAACCAAAAACTCAATCTCAGTGCTAATTGACAGAACGATCAGGAACCTAATCAAAATATCGAAGAATTAATTATTGTACTATCACAAATTCACACTGAAAACTTCATTAGCATCACCCTAATCTCGATACTATTCCTATCAATCTCCACATGATCAAATATCTCCAAATTTGTTCTTATATAACAAACTAATCATTTAAATCCCCGTTAATTGTTGACCTAGGTGTGTGAACAGTGCCCGTAAACAGTACTGCACTTCCAAAAATTTGCCAAAACACTAGCTAATTCACGGGA